TGCAGACACTGGGCAGGCCTCGGGCTGCTCTCTGTGAGGGAACAAAGAAAGGGTGTCACGTTTTAAATAATTTAAAGTTGTAAGAAATACAGAGGGGCCTACTGAGGAGGTGGGAAGAAGGAGAGGCCAAGAAGCGACTGGAGTGGCAGGAGGGGGTGAATGGCAGAGGGTTTCGTGACAGAAGTACAGCTGAGAGACATGAGGACCAAATCTCTTATTTGACAAGCCAGGTCTAGCTCTTTGAGTATTGTTGACTTTCATTCTGTTGTCTTTCCTGCAGGAAGGAGAAAGAAAAGAATTGCGAAGGAAGACAAGAAGCAGACCATTCTGGGCACCCAGGTCTCCCACACTTGACTCATTGTTTGGCTAGTGTTGAAGTCCACAGGAGGCCCCAAGTGGTTTCTTAGCAGGATGGTGGCCTCCCAAGCCAACCAAGCCCTGCCACACCACTCTCTTCCCACCCAAATCCTGAAGGCTGCTTGTTATCACATTCACCTTCATTCAACATGCATCCCAAAATAGTTGCATGGTGTGTACACACAGAAAAGCATGGGCAGGTTTAAGCTCCTGTAATAACATGGCAATGGACATTTCTCAGCCATGAACCATGATGAATGGCAAAGAAAAAAATCCAAGCCTGGTTCGCTCCTGCCCCAGCAGGACCAGGGCACCGCTCAACAACTCAGTAGTATGTTCATGCTCACATACAGATTTAATGAGCCCGTTTTACTACGGGGATACGTGCCAGGAAAACCCAACCGTGTGCACAGGGGGTAAGGAAGGAAGGAGGAGGGTTGACTTGGGGGATGGGAGGAAGGCATCGGCAGAAAGTGAAGCATCTATGAAGCCATTTCCAATAACTCCATAAATCTAGTCACTTCCTCACTTCTGCTCCAGTGGTTGGCCACAACGCGACCTAAAAGTGGGCTGACCTCTCTGAAATCAACACCTCCCACAGAAATGAAACAGACGTACTTGTTTTGATGTATGGCTGGGTGACATATTATAAATATTACATCACATAACCACAGAGGATGCCAATCAATAAGAAATTTTTTCAGACAGCACTAAATGAGCCATGGGTTCTTGCTTCTGAATACACTCCTTTAAGGCTCCTACTATTGCTTAAATGATTAATAGAAGACATATTGTCAGAAAATGTACTTAAAGTGAAAAACAGTAAACTGTAGAAATATCATTCATTTTTTAAGCAATTTTCTAGTGAATATGTCACATAAATTTACATAGAGGCCCTACTATCAGGCTCCGGGTAACAGCTAGGAGGAAGGCAGACCTCATGCTTTGTGGATGGAGGGCCAGGAAAATATTTTACCAAAAGGAAAAAAAAGAAGGTGGCTGCATTGCTTTGTAGAAACCCAAACACTAGAACTCTGGATTCAAAAGTCTTATTGTAAAACCGTAAAATTTCTTAGGGGCAAATGAAGCACAAACTCCAAGATGAACAAAGCAGAGCCGCTTACAGACCAGAGAACAGAACTACATTATATATACATTTATCTCATTCAAATATAAGGGTGAGAGTGCCCATCAAAAAGAAATAAAAAATAAAAAATAAAACAAATAAAAAATTTAGAATTGCTAGAGAATAGGCTACCATTCCACTCAACCGTCATAAGCCATGCAGTGAACGTGTAACCGGATGGGCACACATTTAATGTTCCTTCCAGTGTTCTTAGTTCTTATTTCTCTCGGAGCATGAGCATCTTCCCATTGTTGTGGGTGACTTATGGATTTTCTAGGGTAATTTTGACTAGATGTGATTTCAGCTGTGTGTGGCCCTTAGGATCCAGCTGCTCATGGCAGCTTTGCCATATGTGCATGAACAAACAACCTTCCCAGGCCTATCCCTCAACCCCAACAGATCTGGAGTAGTGAGGTCAGGCTTAGTGGGCACCAGCACCAGCCCAAGAGATAAATCACTCCTCTAGAACCAAACCCTCCCTGAAGGATCAGGACCCAATGACCAGCACTTGGATTGAGTCTGAAGGATAGTCCCTTGCTTGTTAACCGTGTTTGTGGACATCAAATGGATCGGATTCCAAATAGAAAGTAGGCATCTGAGATGCCCAGAGGGCCATACATCTCTCTCTAAGCGCTCAGCTTCTCAGAAGAAAGCAATTTTCAAGCTGCCTGCAGTGAACACTTATCTGACCCCTATTCCAAGGCCACTGTTACTTTAGATATTGAAGAGTCTTCAAAGAGCAAGAAGACACAGCCTTACCTACTGGAAGCCATTCTCTGGATATCGACATATATAAAGTAGTGAGAGAGATATATACAAGATGGAGTACATAAAATGGCACGAGAGAGTAAAGGAAGAACTGTAACAGCGTGGAGGCAGAGTATCTCAGAAGGCTATAGCCAACAGAGATTTTCAACACTACTTAGTCCAATAGTCAAGTGAGCATCCAAATTACCTACTGACTTTTTTGTTGCATTTGCCACTAAGTTAATCAGAATGCTTCGGATGAGTCAGGAGTTCAGCCTTGGTGAAGGGTCACTGATCTAGACTATCCTCCCCATTTTAAAGCGGAGCCCCACCTCAGATCTTCTGATGGGTCTTAGTATTTTTACTGATGTGAACAGTCATAATAACAAAAAAAGATAGTATTAGCTTTTTTCCTTTTGCAACCTTCTAAGTCTTCTATTTGAGACTGAATAAAATATGATGCAATTGAAGATTTTCATCATTCCACTTCTCTCATTCTAGGAAAACAAAGACAACAAAAATGTGCCTACAGTTTGGCTGACATACAGCTCCATGAATGAATGAACGAACATATGTGTCAGTGTGTGTGCCGACACACACATACATAAAAACACACACATATATAGGACATGGGCAGGCATATACATACATACATAAAATTTATTGAGCTATTTTAAAGAATTAAACACATGGGGCGCCTGGGTGGTTCAGTCAGTTAAGTATCCAACTCTTGATTTCAGCTCAGGTCGTGATATCAGAGTCAAGGGATCGAGCCTTGCATCAGGCTCCCCACTAAGTGGGGAGTCTGCTTGAGATTCTCTCTCTCCCCCTCTCTCTCTGCCCCTCTCCCTGCTTGTGTGTGCTCTCTCTGTTAAAATAAATAACTCTTTTTTAAAAAGAATTAAACACAGAAATCTTAAGAAAAAAGCCAGAAAACAAATCAGAATTTCCTAAATCGCGCTTGGCTTACTAAAAATGTTGACTGAAAGAACTTTCTTGGACTTGTTTGACAGTTTCAAGACACATCTTGTAAATTGCTGCAAGAAGATAAAATATGTTTTAAGAGACCCCTTCATATCGGAAATCAGGCTGTTAAATGCTTCAGAGTTGATAAGAGTGTTAAAGAAGCAGATTAAGTTCTAAGTGATTAAGCAACCTACAGGGTTGATTTAGAAATGTGTAACTCTTCACCTGCTGGATATTAATCATATTTCTCCTAACAGAATTGACATTCAAACCTACAGGATCACATCCAAATGAAAATCTTCATACTGGAGAAAGACTTACTACATTTTTCTAAAAGTAGGGTTAGAGTTTTATTCTAAGATGGTTTAAAAATAGTCTCAGACCCCTACAACATTAACCAAGAAATCTAGAAAATTAGGTTAAAGGTACACAATGCTTCCCAAGAAGGAAACATAACAGAATTCCTGATGTAGCTTTATGTGTCTATGTGTATGTATTTTAAAAAGATACAATGTTCAATAGCCTTCAGTACTTCTAACAGCTTTGTTTTAAACAACATGAACTCTCCTGACTTCATTCCTCCATGGGTCACCACAAATTTTTACAGGAGTCCCAAGAGAACCAGTTTCTTTCAAACAATTATCTTCTTTCCCCAATCCTTCCAAATTTATTGTCCAGTGGCCTTACCTGCCTTACATTTCCATCCTTCTTTCCTCTCCCCTTCCCACACTGATTCAGGTAGGATGTTAATGAGAGCTTATATCAGAAGGAAGAGAGAGGTTACACACCTGAAAAGATCACCTAAAAATATATGCAAAACAAAAATCGAGAATGAGGGCACACAGAATTCAAAATGAAGAAAGAAAATATAAAATGAGTTTAGTAAAATGGGTAAGATGAAGGAGACTCCCTAAGAGAGGTGAGTTTGGGTCAGATATTTCAAAGGAGATGGTTTAGTAGCAGAGAAGGGGAAGAAAAGCATTTCTCCTTAGAGCCCATCAAAGCATGCGGATGGTGGACAGCGAGGCATAGCTTTAGGGAACAAAGTTACAGACCTTCAGGGACTTCCTCTCAGGATCCTACATAAGCTTCCTAACTTTAGTGGGAAGTGCTCTCTCTCTAAAAGGCAACTCTGAGGCTGACCACAGGAGAATCTTACAACACAGAGTAGGGATAAACAAAATATAGGCCATGGGTCAAATGTGGCCTACTCCTTGTTTTTGTAAGTAAAGTTTTACTGAACCACAGCTGGGGCACCCGGGTGGCTCAGTCGGTTAAGCATCAGCCTTGAGCTCAGGTCATGATATCAGGGTCCTGGGATCAAGCCCCACGTCGGGCTCTCTGCACAACAGGGAGTCTGCTTCTCTCTCTGCCTGCCCCTCAGCCGGCTCTCTCTCTGTCTCTGTCAAATAAATAAATAAAATCTTTAAAAAGAAACAAACATAGCCATGCTTATTCATTTACAAATTGTTTATGGCTACTTCTGCACTGTAACAGCAGAGTTGAAGAGTTGTGACATAGACCAGATGACCTTCAAAGCCTGAAAATATTGATTACCAAGCTGTTTACAAAAAAATTGGTCAATCCCCGCCCTAGACCGCCTAGCAGCTTTTCATGTTTCTTGGTTCCTGTAACCTTGATGAAGGGAAACCATGGCTATCGGTTACCAAAAAGTTAAAGTTTAGTATTACCACGGGAAGTCCACTGATACTTACCAAACACCTACTATGCATCCCATAATATCATCCCCCCAAAAGATGCTCTTTTTCCCTTTCCCACTGTGTTCCAACCCCTCAGTACTCACCTGTATCTCTTGTAGTCTTCCTCATCCTTTTCTAAGCTGACCAGCTCGTTGGGACAGGCCACATTACCCAGCAGGCTGAGGTACTCCAACGCTGGTGTCACTTCTGCCAGGTGATCAAGAAGACACTCCAAGTCAGTGATGTGACAAAGGTTAAGGATTTGGGTCCAGGGAGACAAAAGGCCTTGTAAGGAACGTAGACTATAACTGGCAGGCACAGCACAACACCTGACAAGTCCAGTCTGCTCCCAGGAGGTGACATGTGGGAGGGTTGAAATCCACTTAGCTGTGAGGTATCCGGCATGGCTAGTTTTTCACTCCTGCTGGGGACACAGCCCAACTCTTCTCTGGGCAGGTAAGACTGAATCCAAATCACTTGAGAGAGAATGAACTTAAGTGTTTGTCACACTTTTTTTTTTCCTATATGGTTCTTTCCATGGGGTATTTGTAAATCCATAAAACTGGTTTGGTTTTTTTTTTTTTTAGTTATGAAAGCAAGAAATTATTTACAATGCCCTCATTAAAAAATAGATTCCCCTCTTCTCCTTTAGGAGGCAATTTATCATTAAAACATACAGGAATGGCATGGATGCAAGCAGGGATTGGCATCCTGTTATGATCTAAGGACCTGGGGTGGAGCTAAGCATTGCTCAGCAGCCTCACTGGTGACAATAAAGTACTGAATTAGGGGAAAAGGAAAACAAAGCTAGGAGAAGACAAATGGAGTAAGTTATTTAGTCAAGCCAGGCAGGTCAAAATATATTTGAGGATGAGAATCTGTTGTGAAACTAATATTCTATGAAGGAGAGAATGAAAGAGAAAATTCCAAGGAAGGGCATGGTGGGGGGATTATGCCATGATTCATTCCCTCAGTGGGATCCACTGGTCGATCAAGGCAAACATTGAGACCCCCCCCCACAAACCAAATAAGTCAAGAATCATAGATTCAGTTACAGGTATTGATAAGGACTTAATGACAACCTAGCTGTCACATCAATACATATGGACTCCTGGCTTGAGCTACATGCAGAAGAACTAAGCCCTAGGCAAGGTGATGACTAGACAGATCATCAGCGGAGGCCATGACTACCAGAAACTTATGGAAGAGAGGTGTCAGCCAATATCAGCAGATGGAATGGGGTCTTTGCCAGGGAGTAACAGCAGAGCAAAAAGGGCCTAAGCATATAAGAGTGAATGCTGCATATAAGAGTCAAACACTCGGAATACAGTGTCTAGGAGTGCGGTCTACTTGGCTTGGGAGAGGAAGGTAAAACCAAAGAAAAGGCATGCCCTTACTCTATCAGGATGTTATCTAACCATGGTATGTTACCCCCATTTCCTTACATTTCATTTTAACTTGTCAGTTGAACACCAAATCCAAACAATGTCAGAATCCATTCCCTACTGTATGCGCTTAGGGGTCACCAAAAAGTAGCTCATTCTATCACAGACAACCATAAGAAAGAGACTTTCCCCTGGGACTGAGCTTTCCACAAATTCCTTCCCACTGACCCAGTTTAACAGCTTGGGGTCTCAAAGAATAAGGCATCTTCTCCTCCACACGACGACCCTTCAGATAGATGAAACTCACACGTCTTCCTTAAATCTTATATTCTCCACACTAAGTTCTGTTGAGCCTTCTTCATAAACAGGCTCTGAGAACATCCTATGCGAGAACAAGCGCTATCCTGTGGGTGTCAGACAGAGACAAGGAGAGGGACAGCGTCAGCAAGAGAGGGAAACAGCAGTGCAAGGGGGGCAGAGCTGCTCATCCACCAAGGGCTTCAATTTGCCAACACCTTTCCCATTTCCTAAACAAGGCCGGACAACGGACATGGAAGTTATCAGTCCTTCAGATCTTGAACAAATAACATCCAGGAATAACCACAGTGGACCACTGGAGTGAGGGGGATAGAAACAGGAGCACATGGAGAAGACAAGAGAGAAGGTGCTACCGGGCTGGGAAGGTGGGAAGGACACATGGGTGAGAGGCCAGGAGTCAAAACAATAAAGCATTTCATCACCAAAGGCAAAACATACTTAGTACTGTTTAAAATACAGTTCAATCATCAAACTCTTTAAGAAAATCATTTAAATAAAACCAATTAAAATGAAAATGAACAATTTCAGGGAAAACTTGGCTTTTCCAGCAGGTTCTAACTCTGTATGCTTCTCAGTCATTGCTACGTTAGAAAAAGGGTGGCTGTTAGCGCTGCCCTTAGACTTTGGCAAAGGCACCTCATGGGGCCCTATGCTTTGGAGTGACTTCCTCAAAATGTCTTAAGTCTCTGTCTGGTATCCAGGAATCACCAGCGACCAAAGTGTCATTCAACTGGGGAACCCCATGCCTGGACTTGGACCTGCATCAGGCCTCAGTCCCAGTCCTGATTTCTCCCCTTCAGGGATTGCTCCAACCCTCCACCCCTCACAGGGGATCCATCAGATGTTCCAAGGAGCAGCAGGACTCATGCCTATCAGGCTGTCCAGGCCCTAGTGCCCGGGGGGCAGCCAGACAAGCTGATCACTCCCACTGGCTGGCGCAGTGTTTCTTCCAAGGGACTGTGAGACAGTGGGCTGCCAAAATGGTGCTGACGTATTGACCTGGGGTGATTCAAATTATTTATGTAGACAATGGCCCTAGAGAACCTAGGGGAAGCCCTTTCTACTGTGGATGAAGAAGTCCAACCAAAACCTACTGCTCTTGTAGGGACAAACTCCTTAAACTTTGGTTATTTTTCATCTACTATATGAAGGTGGGAATGTGAAGGAATGGAACTCAAAACTCGCAAGATTTTTAAGTTGAGGAAATATGGGGCAACTGAGCTGGACTGAAATCCCAGTTATTTCTCAACATTAAATGAGCAGTGATGGGCAACGTCCCATGCCACTGTCCAGGGAAGCAGGCTTCATATGTAAACTTATCAGGGAGCTAATAAAGCTCATGTGTGAGGGCTCCTTGCTTACACAGGGCCCTTGCAGGGATAATACAGTCACAGGGTCATATGTTTTTGTAAAATTTGCAAAAGTAGGTTAAACTGCCGTCAGTTAAGATCACTGTCTCTCTCCACTAAAGTGTGTGTGTGTGTATAGTGTATAATTTATATAATTACATAATAAAGTTATAAAAGAATTGGCAGAAAAACAGGAAAAATATTTTTATATAAGCATGTCCAGTATAAAAAAAAATTGTTACTTTTCCAAATATTTTTATATTTGTGTTGTCAACTCCAAATAAATTCCAAATAAACATTCATCTTCAAGCCTAATTTTGCATTCATAATAAAGTAGTCTTTGCCTTTAAGAGGGTATCCCCAAATTATGTAAGTTTCATACCCAACAAAATCTGGATCTGCCCCTGAGCTGGAGGTTGTGGAAATGTGGACTCATCCAAATGTCTTGGTGATGGAAAATTCCTGGGCAAAAGGTCTACAGTCCTCAAGAAGCTTCAGCCATCATGTGTCAATGAACTCAAGGAAAGGAGCCTGCCTCTTTTAGGGTATTTTGAGTGGCAGAAGCTACCCTCCTTCTTCAGGTCTTTCAAGTACCTGCTAAAGATCACCTGGACTAAGGTAAGTGGTCTCGCCCAAATCCACACTAGTCAGAAATCACTAGCCCCTACTCCGTGGATGCTCTGGACCAGAACTTCATCACTACGTTGATACCACCACCAGAGGATAAAAGACAGGAAGGAGTTTTAATTGGTTTCTTGGTCTCCCGGGTCAGCAAGAACAAACACAGCCCTGCCTTGCCTGGTTGGGAGCTCTAAGTTAGAATTTTGTCGCATTCTTGCATAGAAAATGAAACAGAGGCAATCAGCAGCAGGAACTTGATGTCCCTGACTCACAAAGACCAGGGCAGTAGAGATACTTTCGGGGATGCTCCTAAAGGTGACATTTTCCCCTCCATTTCTAAAATGCGAAGCTATCTGGCACAGTTTCAACTTTCTTCAGCTGGATTCTAGCATACACCTGGCTTCCCTCATCAAGTCTTCTCTAGAGTACTTAACATTTATATTTTTTCTCAGTGTTGTCTCCAGAAAGTTGCCATTGCCGAGTCCAGATGTCATAGGTTCACTTGCCAAGGGAGAGGGCCTTTTTGCAGAGGGCCCAAGATCAAAGCAACATCTTGCCTTGAAAGTCTGGAGCAGGAAGGAGGAGGGGAGTCTTCTGGTGTCATGTCCAGTGGCACAGGTCTGAAGCTGTTTCCCAGGTGAAAATGGGCATGAACCCTCCCTCTGTGCTCAGGTCCAGGTCAAATGGCAGCACCCATACCACCTGGGAGGGTTCCAACCAGTGCTTATCCTAATATAGGATTTCTGAATACTAACTACACATTCTGCACAATATATTCTCATTTTGATTCACAGACACATCAGAAATATCGCATCCAAACAATAATTTAGGAAATGGGGGTCAAAAGTCACTTAGTCAGTAAATGGAAGAGTCTAGATTCAGTCTGAGGTTCTAAAGAAATTGCATTTCTAGGAGACAAGTGACTCATGATTTCCTAACACAAAAAGGAATTTAAAATACTGAAATATGAGGAGTCCTATATGCTTTTGTGGGAGACCATAGGTACTATCACCCAGCTGTGTGCTATACTCAGTTACTTCCAATTTGGGCTTATTCATTTAAAGCAATGAGACTTCTGCTTGCAGTAAAATGTACCAAGAAGTTGTAAAGGCTTTGGGTATTAACAAAGTTACGTCCCATATATACATTATGCCATTTAAATCTGTCAACAATACTCTTAAGTGTCTATCACCCATTTTACAGATAAAGAAACTGAGGACTCAGACAAGGCACAGAGAATTGCCTGAGTAAAACATTAAATTGCTGTGGGAAATCTCGTGTGGCCTTAAGCTCAGCTCACTGGTCTCCTCACCACAGCCCAGCTGCACAACACGTCACACTATCCATTCTTCCTGTTGGTATGACAACACATACTGTCTCTTCATATATGTGCTGAAGCAAACAGGTAGACAGGAGAGAATGAAGGAATTAAGTGTGATGTAAAATGAAGTCAGCTTCTCACCTTTCCCCCACCCACCCAGAAAGGGAGAATGGGGGAGAATCATTTGATTGTGCAAAGTATCTATATTTTCCTGACATCTCAGGTATTCTGTTATTTGGGGTTGGGTATT